AATTTTAAACACATCTGAGCAAGAAATGTGAAAAATTTATAGAGTCAGAAGTGATGCAAACCTATCAGATAGCAGTTAAATAAGTCTTATCTATTTTGGTTGGAAGCTTTGTTCCTTCTTTTGTTTAATCTCTTCAGAGTTGAGATCACTTGTATGCAAGGTGACATATTATCCAACTAGGTTTCTTGTGGTATTAATCTGAAAAGAGTTGATCTGAAACTGAACCGAACTGCCAATATGTATAGCATTTCTTAATTTTTAACACATAGGAACTTTATGATAGTAACATTTTGTAACAATTTTCGAAATTTCTGTTTTTTCTGGTCACTTTGACGTGATCTCATATAGACTTTGTTGGTATAGGAGCCCCATTGCTGATGGCCATTACAGTATTGTTCTTCTTCTGCTTTTATTTTGAGATGGGGACAATGCCCAATGCCAAACTCTAGATTATAAGTCAACTTACAGATTCTGGCATTGAGAAAACAACAAAGAAAATGCCCCCATTTCTTTGTTCTGTTTATTGTTAAGAAATAGTCTATCTTTAACTACTTTCTTGTGCATATATCCTCTTTGTTTATATTTTTTAAATATTTTATTTGAATTATCATTTGTCAGCAGATAATGGCTACCACTTAGTACGGATTAAAGTTTTTATTTGGACCTTGCTCTCAGATTAGTGGGCAAGTGGGCAACTAAAGCTATTACATTAATGTTGAAAATAGCGTCATTTTGCTCTATAAAAATCAGAGCTCCCTATTCAGCTATGCAACACAAGTCTTTAGTTCTATCCTTCACTTCTCCAAGTATAATTTGTTACAAATCAAAATGGAAAGCTTAGGGAAGTTGGGGAAATGGTCTTTTCTAACCGTTGCTTTGGCAATTTGCTTAGTAGCCAGCACAGTTGTTGCTGATTACTCTTCTGAGTATACTTCACCCTCACCTTCTCACAACTCTAACAAGTATTACAAATCACCATCTCCATCCAACTATCATGTGCCCACTCCTTATTACAAGAAACCTTATTCCATCACATTATTACTACAAGTCACCAGCACCTTCAAAGCACGCTTATTACAAATCGCCATCACCAACAAAATATTACAAGTCACATGTTCCTTCAAAGCATTACTACAAGTCACCCATTGTAACCAAGTATTACAAGTCACGTGTTCCTTCAAAGCACTACTACAAGTCACCGGTTGCAACAAAGTATTACTACAAGTCCCCAACTCCTTCAAAGCATTATTACAAATCACCCACTCCTTCTAAGTATTACTACAAGTCCCCATCGCCCGCAAAGTACTACAAGTCCCCATCTCCAGCAAAGTACTACAAGTCACCTACTCCATCAACACACTATTACTACAAATCACCATCCCCAACAAAATATTACAAATCACCCACTCCATCTAAATACTACAAGTCACCTTCACCAACAAAATATTACAAGTCGCCAGTTTACTACAAGTCACCTCCACCTCCACCAAAATACTACGAGCAACCACCAACTTATTACAATTCTCCACCTCCACCATACTACCAAGAATCTACACCTTCCTATAAATCTTCTCCACCTCCTCCAAAGACCTATGAACAATCACCTACATACTACTCACCTCCACCACCACCATACTACAAAGAAACACCAACCTATGCCTCACCGCCTCCACCTGAGAAGTACAAGGAACCTGTCACCTATGCTTCACCGCCGCCACCTGAGAAGTACGAGGAACCTGCCACCTATGCTTCACCTCCACCCCCATCACCATCTCCCCCACCACCAACCTATTACTAGTAGTCAAATCCATTATTTTCAATCATTTTCCACCACCTTTGGGGTTTTCCATTTCCTTTTATGCTTCCTAAAATGATTGGCTTTGATTGTCGTGTGTTCCTTTTGTATTAATAATTCGTAATATTTATCTTTGGAGATTTAAGTAAGATCCTTGAGATCTCCATCAATTTGATTTATTGTATCAAGATTTTATTTTGGTGTAATTTATCATGAATTCTACTTTGTTTAATACTATATCATCTTTGTTTCATATTGTTTGTTCTAATTGACTGAATTCTTACGCATATGCATATTTTGTTTTTTTCCAATTATTTTTCTGAAAGGATTTATCGATAGGAAATAAGACCATCTCCAACCAACCTCTATTTTACTCTCCATTCTTTATATTTGGTGAGTAAAATAGAGAATAAGCACTCCAACCCACCTCCAAATCACCCTCTATTCTTCAAATTTAGAGAGTTGAATCTACTATTCACACTCTCTATTTCACTTTTTCATTATTTTATTATTATTTCTATTACTTTCTAATTAACATATTATTTTACATATAATTTCATTAATTAAATATCTAATATTCATAATTCTTTTTTAAATGTAATATAATTTTTTTTTAAAATATTATTTAATATATATTATTTTAATTTCAAATTAATAGTATATTAAATATTTTTCTAATTTTCGTGAATAATAAAATTTTATTTTATTATTAATTTTCATTATAAAGAATACGCAAAATTAAAATGGCAAGATGAAAAAATTTAATTTAAAAATACAATACATGATATGATAATTTAAATACAAGATAACAATACAATATAATACATAAAATAATAATTTAAATACAAGATAAAATACAATACAATACATAATAATTAATTGATCACAACAATAAATTTAGAAATCCGGTAGGCCGTTTCCAGATTTAGCACTATTCAGAAAAAAATTAGGATATGATTCCGAGAATTGTTGCGATTGTGGTTGTGATAGCGGTTGTGGCTGCGGTTGTGATTGTCGATTTATTTTTTCAAGTATTCATTGTTGTTCTCGTTGCAGGTAATCACGAATTTGGATCACTAATAGTTTCTACTGTAGAGATTTTTGGTGAGCGATATTTGAGATCACCAACACCTAACGATGTTGCGAGGCTTCTACACATTGGTGAGCAGCGTGGTTTCCCAGAAATGTTAGGTAGTCTAGATTGCATGCACTGGAAATGGAAAAATTGTCCAACAGCATGGGCTGGGCAATACGCAGGTCGTAGCAGATCACCAACAATTATTCTTGAAGCTGTTGCTGACTATGACCTTTGGATATGGCATGCTTATTTTGGTTTGCTTGGCACCAATAACGATATTAATATTTTAGAGTCATCACATTTATTTTCCAATCTTGCTAGCGGTATTGTGCCTCCCACCCATTATGTTATTCAAGGAAAATAATACGATATGGGTTATTACTTAGCTAATGGTATATATCCTAAATGGTCTACAATTACTCAAACTATTCGTGATCCTCATTCCCAACAAAAGAAATATTTCGCGATGAAACAAGAATCGTGCCGAAAAGATGTTGAACGTGCATTCGGAGTTTTGCAATCACGTTTTGCAATTATTGCAGGACCGTCAC